ATAAAGCCTGAATATGAAATAATTATTTCAGCTTTTTGTGCAGTCAGATGTTACTATTTTCCTTATTGGATAATTTTAGCACCTCCAGGGTGTACTTTTTAACCCTGCTTCTGTTAAATAGGCTGGGCTTCGCTGAAAATGGAGCTAGCACCAGGATAAAGGACTGGCCATTTGGCCTCCCTGCTGTGGCATATTTTGATCTTGAACGGCATTAGAGGATGCATGCATAGTTAAGGTCACACATGTGTCATTATGACCTCTCTGTCTTACTTTTGAAATTTTGAGCTTCTTAGGTGTTAGGAGGTTACATCATGAAATTTCTGAAGTATTCATGTATCCATGGATTACACATTACTGTAGTATGTCCACTCAATTTTCATAAAGGGACAAGCACATTTAGAGTATTGTAAATGGTCATTTTTCAGTTGGGATTAAATTGAAAATAGTAGGCTTTGAGAGTTATTTCTGCTACAGTAGAGCCTTTTTAGTAAGTATCTTTTGGCTTTTTAGAGTTATGAATGGAGCTGATCAAAAGGCTGTTTTGTTCTCAAACTATGTTAATACCAGTAGATACTATATAATAACATAGAACTATGTCATAAGAGGTTTAGAATAAGTTCCTTTAGAAGTAAAAATTTAAAATTTTTCTTCCTATATAAGAAAGATTTTGAGATATTTCAGTTATAAGTTTATAAACTTAGACTTTTTGGCTATATTTTGTCAGAAATAACATAGGCAGATGAAACATAAAGTCAAAATCTGTTACCAGAAGAAGGTAAAAATGTGTAATAGCCTGATTAAAATAGGGCCTTTAAAGAATATTCTTAAATAGCCATGACAGTATTAGCAATTCCAATTTATAAGGCTGCCTGTTTCCTTATCAGGCTGTAAGAAAAGGTAGAAATTACCAAGATATTTCATGGCTAAAGGCAGGCTTAGTGATTTCATGTGCTACTGGTGTATTCCATCTGTCCTTACATTTTACTGTGCTGCATTTCACTGTTTTCCTTATTTGACTCTGCAGATAAATGTATTTTACTTATTTCAGCATGTATCTCCACTTGATGTCCAAACTGATGAATGTGACAGTTTGCGTATCAGGTTCATTGCGTACATAGGCAGGTAGGATGTTCTTTTAAGAGCGCATTTTCAGGAATACATTGTCTAAAAGTGACCATTAGATGTACCTGTAATTAGAAATTTTGGTTTAGAGCTTTCTAATTTTGAACTGTGAAGGAATTTAACTCTTCTAACTTTTTTGAGGCTTATTTTTGCATGTGTGTCACTAGAAATTAATTGTGTTGAGTGAGAAATTATCTTGGGTATGGACTTGAGTTGATTTCTTTTACAGTTTTGTTCCTGCTGTGGTCACTCTCATCTCAGAAAAGTTTTCTAGTCAAAAACATAGCATAGAAACAATGGTATTAGATATTTTATATACTTTTAATCATCCTTTGCAAGATTTCAATATATCTCAATAACAAATTAGGCTACATGAAAGATGAAACCTTAGAAAAAGTCAAGAGTTACCCTTACTGGGACCTTAATCTCAATGGAACTTAATCTTCTGAGTTTGTTCTGGCAATTACTTTGTCCATAGTGTTTTTTAAGATATTAAAAACACCCTTTTAAAAGGGGATGAGGTGTTGGGTCTTGGGCAGTCTTTAATTTTTTACATTATGAATTTCATTCTTCTCAGTGTATTTAAGCAGTTCGTCTAGCTGAGGTACTAGGCTTGTTTCAGTACAAAGCAGATTGAAAAGCCAGTTTCTATATTCTAAGAACTTGTCTTTGAACTGAACTTAGGTTACATATTCAATCTTAATAATTTCTGTTATATATTACGTCTCTTATGATATATGATATATTACATCTTTAAATAATGAAATATGTCAAAGATAATAAAACTTTTAGGAACACATGACATGAGTTGTCCACACTAGTTACTTTTAAAAAATAAATAATGGACAAACTGAAATGGATAAAATTACATTAAAATCAAATCCAAATCTATATATAAATTTTAATGGAACCTAAATATAGTACATATTTTTCATTAGAAACAAATTAGTCATGTTCATACATAGTTATTAAATATTCTCAGGTATTTGTTGGCAAAAACTATGTGGGATTCTCTAATAATATGGACCAGAAAGCTCTAGAGAGATAATAAATATGCTGTCATTAGAGGTATTATTATACTATTTTCTTCATTTTTCCTAAGGCCTAGCACTTTGTTACTTGAAATGAATACTATTGTCTAATTTAATGGGAGCTTTCTAAGAACTGGAAGATGGTAATTATATTTTAAAAATAACACTATAGATTGTTAGTGTCATTTTCCTTAAAGGGAGACAGGATTATTAAACACCCTTAACTATTCCTGATGTAGAATTGCTACGTGTAGAACGTGATATGTTATAGCACTATCTATTGAAAAGTTTAGCAATTTTATTTTATAAGCTAAAAGTTACTATGCTTTTTGTTTGTCAAGTAAGAGATTCCATGAAAATCTGATTCTAGGTATTGCTATACTTTTCAAGAGAATCTTCTATGTTGTGTATACTAGTCTTGGCTGACACAGATACTCGGTTTCGGGTTATCCTATATACTTAGATCCTCTGCAGATGAACTGATGTGTCTAGACAGGAAGTGGTATGTAGGAGATATAGGAATGGGCTGAAGTATCCTTTATATTTGCCTTTGTATCTAGGGGAGTTGGAAATAGGCAAGAATGGAGAGAAATTTTGTATGGCAGTACACAGAATTTTGCAAGTTTATTGTGAGCCCCGCAGCAATCCGATGCATTTTAGTTACTGGTAAGTTTGTTAAATTATGTTTGAAAATGTAACTCTTCGAAGATGGCCATCTATTTACTATTACATCCACCATGTCAAATATACCTATTTTAAAGATTTTTTTTTTTTTAAAGATGTGGTATTGCTGTTGCATTTAGTTTTAGGTATAAATGTAAAATACTTTCGCTAGTGAATGCATTTGACTTTTCAATTGTTGTTGTAGCTAAAACTGAAGTGAAATTAACTTTACATGGGTTAGCATAGTCATGCGTTAAGATTTGGGAATAAACTTAATATTTCTGATTTTGTAATGGAACTCCACTGTGAAGAGAAATCTGAGCTAATTCCTTAGATGTTTGAGAAAGAGTAGCGCTTATGATAGAAAAGAATAAGAAAATCCATGGTAATTTTATATAGAGGGTGATTTATTGTAAGAAATTTTTTTTTGCATTTTTTTTCATGGACCATAGGAACCATAGGCATTTCTTTTTGGCAGTGCTGATTTTTAGGAATTTTAGTCATCTTTCCCCCTACATCATTAAGTTAAGTGTAGATAAGAATTCCATGAAAAGATTAGGACATTCTGTAATCTCTGTGCAGTAGTTTCTTTATTCTTCTCAAACATTTAGGTAGAAGTATTTTGTGCAGTAGTACCTGTGCAGTTATTTGTGAAGTGGCTTTTATCATTGATACAATTCATTAAAAATGGAATAGATTGCCTAATAGCTGTTCTTCCTTACAGAAACATTAAAAAAATCCCCAAAGATTCTTTGGTAGTTGTGGTTTATTTGTAAATGTCTAACTTTAGGACAAAGTAAAAGGACATCTTTGACTTGTAATACCAGTTAACTTTTTTTGTGTGGTTTAAAGAAATAGAGCCAATTAATGTAATTCAATTTTAATTTCCTGTAATGAAGTACTTTATTTCCAGATATACTCTAGTTTTTCTGACTGATGTCATGTAACCTATTAAACTATTAGTTTTTATAATAACGAAAATTTTGCTATTGATTCTTTCAATGAAAATATTTCTGATTTGAACAAGAATAGCCACATTATCGGAGAAATGTGTTGTCAATTCTATTGAAACCGGAAGAGAATAACTTGAGAGAATAGAATCACTTTTGGACTTTAATTTTTTCAAGTTTTCCTCTTTAACAGATTTTCTTAATTCCTTGCAGTAATGAGTACTGGTGAATTTAAAATATATTTAGAAATTTGTGGTTTTACTCTTTCTTGTGAATATAAATAGTTAATTTAGGGTACATTACAAAACACAGCAAATAGATATTTTAATTGCTGATGAAGTTTGGCTTGTCACTTATTATAAACTACAATAACCATATACAATGAGGGAATATATATTTTCTTAATTAGGAATGCCATCATGTATTAATGCTGCTAGTTGAATAATTCTCAGTGTAACTTTGTGAAGTAATATATTATCAAAGCTTAATTCAATGCAGTCATTTATTTTTCTTTTGTTTTCTTCTTTCATTCAACAGACACATTAAGGGCTTTATCTTTGTCTGGGCACTTATTTTGTGTGCTTTTGTGTGTTTGTGTATGCATTGTGTAATTAACTGCCACTTTCATTTCAATACTATACAGATCATTTGTTTTTCTGTTCCTGTGAGCTTTCCTGAGGGCATGTATGGACATATTAAATAACATGTTGCATATTTCTCTGGATATTTTCTAAAAAAAAAATAAGATTTTTTGAAAAATAGGTCTAAATGAAAAGTTTATTTTAAAAACAGGTGTTTTTCCAAAGCAATATCACATACGTATTTAAAATTCTCTAAGATGGTATGTTCTTTAAAAGAATATTATGATGAAAGTTTTTATTGTGGAGAATTGATGTATTTGTGCGTGTGTTTCTTATGTTAGATTTACTTGAAGCAGGTAATGTACACATGTGCGGATGACCTTCACTGTTTGACTTTGGAATATTAAAAAAACTATGCATTTATGTTTTGATTTATGATACTTAATTTTAAAGAGATGAGACTAGTTTTCTCATGCTTGTGAGAAAATATACTCCTGTACAATATAAGGTATAATAATCATTGTCAGCAAAATAGAGATTAGATTTGAATTTGGTTGTTATCTTTTGGCATAATAAAATTCTGAAATGGAACACTGTGTTTATAATCAGCATTTGATGATTACATAATGAAATTATCTGTACTTTACATGCAGTGCTACTCTTTTGGCATTCCTGGTTGAACTACTTAAAAGTTCAGTAGCCATGCAAGAACAGATGCTGGGTGGAAAAGGCTTTTTAGTCATTGGCTACTTACTTGAAAAGGTAAGTGATATGTGTTGATGGTTTTATTGTGTTATGTTCATAGCTGAACTGACAACCCCTAACTATATTTTCATTATACTTTTCATGCACTACTCATTATTGTCGGCTAACTCACAAATATTTACTTTTATATTTTGCAGTGAGACCTAAGTGTAGACATTGAATTAAATTGGGTGCAGGGAATCTATATAAATAAGGAATTTTGAGTAAAGATAGAAACTAAAGAAATCTTTTTTCCTCTGTCTTTATTCAAAGTTACAAGTATTTCCCCTTAATTCTTTTATCTAATTGTTTCTTTGCTATTTTTACTTTCAAACTCAGTTTCTTAGAAAAGTTTTGTCCATTTTATTTTACATGGATTTTTAAAATTTTTATTTTACATGGATTTCCTTAATTTTTCAGTTATAAAGTGTACAATCTTTCTTTTGTAATAAGCAAAACATTAGTTTGTGATTTGTCTCTGCTTTTCATGTATCTGATTATTTAAGGTAGCTTTTCTCTAATCACTACATAATATAAGCAATACAAATTAGATGGACTTAATTTTCCTCATTTTGTGCCTTTTTTTTTTTTTTAATGGCCTTCTTTGTTTTAGTCACAACTGTACTAATTCTGGTAATGAATCCTGGGTTTCTGATTATGGTCTCATAAGAATCTGGTTGTATCATGTGATTTCTCTTCATAATTAAAGGGGAAAGTCATGAATACAAGTATTGGCCTTTTTCTTTCCTAAGGATTATCCGTCATCCTCATTAGTTCTCTCAAACCTGTTCTATCAGTTAACTCTAATACTGAGCTGCTCTGAAAATGAACTATTTGAGAAATAATAGAGGTGAGGTCTCAAGTTAGAGGAATAAAATTATTTTTCCCTTCAGAAATAATATTGAGAAGACTTTTGGAGATAGTTTTTTCAACTCAGATTGCTCTGCCTTTGAAATCTTATAACCTATCTTTGCTTCTAAGTAAGTATTCTTCTTTCTCGAAGGACTGGTGATTGAGGAGTGATAGGATATTAAATAGATCAGTCATTGGCAGCATTTCTTTACTGAAATAATTTTTTCAGTAAATTAAGCTTCTCATTAGGATGTTTGGTTTTATGGAAAACTATTTTTTTCTATCTAGAGTATTAAGAATTGTTTAGAAGATTTTATGTTGAAATATATTTTACATGAATTAGGTATTATGAAATGCCTTTGTGATATTACTGTCGTATGACAAGATCTGTAACAGGAGCTACCCCTTGAATATACTTTTCATCTATTTGCTGAGAGTTTACCAGTATAATTCTAAAGTGAGCATTCCTTTATAGTTAAAACTTAGCTTAAAATTAGAAATTCAGTGAGGGGCACCTAGTTAGCTCCATCAGTAGAGCATGTGACTCTTGATGTCAGGGTTCCAGGTTTGAGCCTCAAGTTGGACATAGATATTACTTAAAAATAAAATCTTAAAAAAATTTTTAAAATTAGAAATTCAGTAAAAGGACTTTTAATTTAAAAAAGATTATATTCAGTTCTTCTTTCTCAAAATTAATATCCTTAAAATTATATTGTCAAGTTTGGTATAAAATATTATCTCATTGTGGTTTTAATATTTATTTTTGGAAAATTTGGGTAAGATGGGACATATTATCATATTATTTATAGTACATCCACTTTTTCTTTTTTATGGAGTAATTATTTATGTCTTTTGCTAGTTTGCCCAATTTCTTTTGAAGACCTCCCCACTCTTAGGCTACCTGAAATCTACTTTGGACTCTGATTTGGTGTACTCTAGGTATTTCATATAAGTGAGATCATATATTTGTCTTTTTGTGTCTCATTTCATGTGCCATAATGTGTATAACCTTTCATCCATGTTGTAGCATGTGTCAGTACTTTCTTCCTTTTAATTTATATTAATTGTTGTATATGACACATTTTGTTTATAAATCCAAATGTCAATAGACATTTGTGTTTTTTCCACCTTGGATGTTATGAATAAAGCTGCTGTGAATGTTCATGTACAAGTTTTTGTGTGGACATATATTTTTATTTCTCTTTGGTAGATACCTATCTGTGAATTGATTTGCTGGGTCTTATCGTTACTCAATGTTTAAACACTTGAGAAACTGCCAGATTGTTTTCCAAAGTGACTCCATCATTTTACATTTTCATCAGCAGTGTGTTAGGTTTCTAGTTTTTTCACATTCTTGCCAACATTTGTTAATTGTCTTTTTTTATTCTAGCTTGTCCTAGTGGGTGTGAAATGACATATCATTTTTTATCTGCAGTTCTGTGATGTCTAATCATGTTTAGTATCTTTTCATGTGCTTATTGGCTATTTGTATATTTTCTTTAGAGAAATGTCTATTTAAAAATTTTGCCCATTAAAAACATTGTATTTTCTTTTCATTATTGAATTTTTTCAGCAGTTTTTTATTCTGTATACCAATCTTCATTTGATATATGATTTGCAAAGATAGTCTTATATTCTGTAGACCAAATTATGTTTTAATTTGCATTCCCCTGATGACAAATTAAGTTGAACATTTTCATACATTGTCTTTTGGTAGTTATCCTTTTTTGGTAAACACCTGTTCAGAGTGTTTGCCCTTTTTCATTTGAATTGTCTATCATTTTCTTATTGATTTGTGGAAATTCTGTTTTTATGACAGATATGAGACCTTTGTTGGGTATGTATCATGACTATCACTTTCTTGTGGCTTGCTTTTCCATTCTGTTAATTACCTTTTTGATGAATGGAAGTTCTTAATTTTAATAGATGTCATGTTTCATTTTCTTTTATGATTATCCCATTTTGGATCCTAATGTATCCCAAAGCCACAAGACTGTTCTATGTTTTCTTCCTAAAGTTTTGTTTTACTTTTCACATTTGTATTTACAGTCCATCTAGAATTAAATTTTGTGTAGGGCATGAGGCATAAGGTCAGATTTCTCTTTTAACCTCAAGTATGTAGTAGCTAGCTGGCCTGGTACTGTTTATTGAAGTTGACTTCCCACTGTATCACAATTTAATTTTTGCTATGAATCCGATGACCATTATATAAATGGGATCATTTCCAGAGTTGATCTGTTGTGGGTTTTCCCATTTGAGGCAGTACAGCACTATCATAATTTGTATGCCGTTTTAGTGTATTTTGATATCTCATAGTGTGTCATCTAGTTTTATTGGTCTTCGAGATTGCTTTGGCTATTCTTGGGTTTTTGCATTTATACACATACAAATATAAATGTAAATTTATACACACACACACACATATTCCTTTCAATTTCCATCAAAATTGCTAGGATTTTCATTGTATTATATTGATATCTTGATATTAAATCATCCAGTTCATACATTTAGTGTTTTCTTCTATTTATTTAGGTCTCTTTGGTAGTTTTCTGTGTAGAAAACTTTCTTTTTGCTAGATTTATTTCTAGATAACTTGAGGTTTTTCAAATGTTAGTTTTTTTATTTGTCCCAGAAATATAGAAATATAATTTGTATTTATATCGACCTTTATATACTCTTCTTTTATATTGCTCTTCTTCTATTAATTTTAGTAGTTCGTTGATTTCTCAGAAGCATTTGTTTGTAGAAAATCTCATCATCGGAGAATGGCAGTTTTATTTTTTTCTTTCCAATATTTATTCTTTTATGTTTTTCCCTTGATATTGCACTAAGACTTCCAGTAGAGTGCTGAACAGAAGTTGTAATAGTGAGCATCCCTATCTTATTTCAAATCTTATGTGCAAAGCTTTCAATAATTATACACTAAGTATGGCTTATGCTGTAGGTTACTTTTGTAGATTTTTAAATCAAATTAAGAAGCTCTCTATACAAGTTTGCTAAGAGTTTTTTTTAATCATAAATAGGTGCTAAGTTTTACCAAACACTTTTTTGCATTATTTGAGATAATTATGACGTTTCTTCAATTTTTTCTTAGTTTAGTGAACTACATTAATTGCTTTTCATATGTTAATCCATCCTTATATTCCTGGAGCCCTATTTAGTTTTAGATCCACCCCTATTCCAATCAGTATTTTTTGCTTAAAATGGCTCATGTCAGTGTCACCAGTAGTCTTACATTCTTACATCTTAAGATTCTCAGTTTTCATCTTATTTGACCTGTTAACATTTCTGTTCTAAAAGTCTTTCCTTCTTGAAATGCTCTTGTCATTTGTATTTTGTGACAGCATTCTTTCTTTGTTTTCTTCCTACTTCCTTTGTCTCCTGTTTTATTCTTTCCTACTAGTGCCTCTTCTTTCTAAATTTTAAAGACAGATTTTCCTCTCAAATGTTTCATCCCTCAGTTTTCTCTTACTTAATAGCATTGCCATTCACCAAGTAGTTCAGACCAAAAATTTTAATCTTTTTGACTCTTTTCACACACTAAGTTCATACCCTCCTAATTATGTTGTCTTGGTATCAAAACATACCCAGAATGAGTGACTGTTTCCTACTTAAAACCTTACTCCTTTCTGTATCACATTGATATCATCGTATTTCAGTCATCTTTTTCTTTCACTGTTGGTTATCCACAATCTGTTTTTCACTTGCAGTCAGACTAGTCTTCCTAAAATGTCTCAGACCTTACTGCTCCATCCTTCTGAGGGTAAATTAACAATTCTCTTACCTCTGACATCATCTTATCATGCCCCTTCTTACTTTGTTGCAGACACACTGGCCATGCAAAGGCCTCTTTGCCTTTCCCTTAAAAACTAAATTGTAAGCATGAGTCCATCTCAGGAATTTTGCATTTTCCCATTGCTTTCATTATTCTTTTTGTAGGTATCCAAAATGGATTGGTTCTACACTTCATTTAGGATTTTGCTAATGACACCTTATCAGAGAAGTCTTCCCTGATCACTCTAAATAGAATACCACCCCTTCTTACATAACCATCACTGTCTCCCTACTCTGCTAATGTTTTTACATCACGATTCTGACTTCTTTTTTTACTTGCTTATTTTCTGCCTCTTTTTACTGGAATGTAAGCTTCAGCTTAATGAAAGCAG